GTTTACATCCATCCAATAAAGAGTCTTACTTTTTCTGTTTAAAGTTGAATGAGAACCAAACTTCTGTGATTGGTTCAGAAATTTGGTTCTGCTTGGAATCAGAAAGGCTATTTGCTAAAAGCCAGAGAAAGAATCTGAGATTTATTTGTTAATAAATGCTAGATCAGAAGTTCACACCAGATTTTACTGCTGATAATAACCTTTACTTGATAATGAACAGATAGTTTTATGTTCTCCCCCTGCAGAGCAAAGACCTGGGGATCAGAACTGTTGTGATGCTGGACGAACAAGGAGGTAAATACTTCACCTGCATCACAATATTTCTGCATCAATGTAAAGGAAAAACATGTTTATGCTTTCTGCTAAGAAGAGGAGTTTTGCTAAATTTTGATCTGTTTTTTTTTTACCAGTTTGACTAAAGTAGATGTTGGTCAAGTTGGTGACTTTGCTTGCTTGCTGTCTCTACGATGACGTTTCAGTTTTAGCAACAGGAAGTTGGGCTCTTTTCAGAGAGCTGCTTCTTTCTGCTCCTAAAAGCTCTTTTTTTCTCAGATTTCTTATCATCTGCAGCCTCATATATTTACATAACTTGGGAAATAGGAATGTTTTGCATGATAATCCTTTGGCATTCAGTGCTTCCTATATGAGAAGCCTTATACTTGCCTTATTTTATGAATTTGTTCTGTTGTGAAAGCAGACACTTTTGTATGATGTTTTAATCAAACGTTTCATTTTTAGCAAAAACAGATAAAACACTGCAAGCAAATCTAGACCCCTATGATTCCATATCCTCACATGTGACTGAGAGACAGCCATGCTAGTCAAAACAAAGTCCTGCTGTGAGCAGAGTCATAGAGAGTGAGAGCTGAGCAGCAAGGCGGAGCCGAGTCTCCACCTCTCATGGTGTGCTACTCACTGCGCTGCTGTGCCGGCTTCGTCTTTCACTTCAAAGAGCCGACGCGTTGGCGACTGACCTGTCACTGTTCTGTCATCTCCGGTAAAACTACCAGGGCTGTTCAGCTGACATCACAACAGAGACACAAACCTCCAAAACCAGGTTTTCTAAAAGTTTGACCTTCATAAACAGTAAATTCTGTGAACTGATCAAATCTGTTTTTCAGCTGAACCCGAATCCCTCGTTTTACCCATTGCAATGATACGGATGTCAACGCCGATATATCGTACATCCCCAGACTGCATCTAGACTAACAAATATTAATCCAACTGTAACGGCTTCATGATATTAGGATCCATCTGAATGGTGGATGGATGGATGGATGGATGGATGGATGGATGGATGGATGATCGGATGGATGGATGGATGGATGGATAGATGGATGGATTAATGGATGGATTAATGGATGGATGGATGATCAAATGGATGGATGGATGGATGGATGGATGGATGGATGGATGGATGGATGGATGGATGGATGGATGGATGGATGGATGGATGGATGGATGGATGGATGGATGGATAGATGGGATGGATGGATGGATGGACGGATGATCGGATGGATGGATGATCGGATGGATGGATGGATGATCGGATGGATGGATCCAGACCAACAGTCTTTCTCCATGGCTCCAGTCTCAGACTCAGACTGACCAGGTCTGACCCGGTCCATGTGGGTCTGAACTGAACCGGTCCATGTTTGCTAGTTGAACTTCCTGTTCCTCACAGAGCAGCTGGAGCGGATCGAGGAGGGCATGGAGTCCATCAAGAGGGACATGAGGGAGGCGGAGAAGAACCTGACGGACATGGCTCAGTGCTGCGGCCTCTGCATATGGCCACTCAGGAAGTACGGCCGTCTCTGCCGGTCGACCGGCCGGTCGCCTCCTCCTGGTCCCAGCTGCATCAGAACCCGCCTGATCTCACGTTACAATCAAGATTCTCTCGTTCAGGATCACTGATCACCAGCCGACTGCAATCTGGTTGGAACCGCCGAGTCTCAGAAGGTTGATCAGGAGGAAATTTGATGGAACTGGGCACCAGACTGGAACTACCACTGCTAGCGCCACCTGCTGGTCCATACTGGGCCGTAGTTATGAGTTCTGCAGCATTAGAGTTTAAGTTGCTGTTTTTTCAGTTAATAGTTGCAGCTCCTTTTGACCTTGCTTGGCTCCTTTGTTTCTGTGTTTTCTGCTTCCTCCTCCTCCTCCTCCTCCTCCTCAGAACAACTGGAGCGGATAGAGGAAGGCTTGGATCAGATCAACTCTGATATGAAGGAGGCAGAGAAAAACCTGACTGACCTGGGGAAGTGCTGCGGCCTCTGCAGCTGTGAGAAGTAGGTGGAGGTGACGCTCCCCCTGCCCCCATTCAGTAAACCAGTAGCTAACCAGCTAGCAGGTTCATGTAGCGCTTCTAGAGTTCGCTTCACTTCTAGAGACCCCGCCCTCATTTCTCTGTATTTTCCTTCTAAGCAGCCAGATTTGCTTCTGATCGATTTCAGTGGTCGATTAAAGTTGTTCTCCAGAATTTCTGAAAGTCATTTAAACTTTTCCTATGAACTTTATTGATTCCTTTGGTTCAAGCAGCATGTCACAAAAACACAAGTTGTTTCAATTAACATACCAAAAACAACAGTGTTAAGTTGTTTCTCCTCCTGATGGTGCGATAAACCCAGTTCCATTAGAAACTAATCACCCACTCCATTTCCTGCTGTGGTTCTCTTTTTCTCTGCTGAGTCAAACCAGCCTGTTCCCCTCCTGGCCTGTGGGGGCGCTGCACCAAGAACCACTGAAGGAAATGACACAAAAACCTCTGAAAACGCTGAGAGCAACTTCCTGTTTCATCAGATGAAACAAGATGGAGGCGTCAGAGTTTAGTGTTGGAGGATTTCTTTTAGTCTTTGGCTGAAGACCAGGAGCCATTTCTGCTGCTAGCGCTAGGCTAACATGTTAGCTTTGGTTGTATTTATTTTATCTTTTCAACGTCTTTTATCCACTTTGCCTACATTAATCCTTGTTTTAAACACATTAGGCTTAATTTCATGGTTTGGAACAAATGAGGTCTGAAACTGTCCAGAGAAAAACTGAAGAGAACAATGGATCAGATCAGGTGTAACACGGGAGGGAAGATATGAAAGAACTGAGTATGCTCAATACCATACCTGACATCAACAGCTGTATCCGATCAGAGGTTATTGACGAGATCACTCTCTCCTCTCAGACTGAAAGCCTTCGAGGAGAGCAGGGCGTACAAGGCAGTTTGGGGCGGAGCCTCCAATCAGGATGGGGTTATAGCCAATCAGCCTCCAACGTCTCGGGTCGTCGACCAGCGAGAGCAGATGATGATGAGTGGAGGACACATCCGCAGGTACACACAGCTTTAGCCTGGTGGGTGTTTGCTTTTATCCTGACAACCTGGAGGTAATCCAAGCCGTCATTAACTCCCCCAGGCAGCTGCTCAAACATGCAATGTCATCAAACACCCACACACACACACACACACACACACACACACACACACACACACACACACACAACACACACACACACACACACACACACACACACACTGACACTGACTCCTTTGTTTCAGGGTGATGGACGACGCCCGAGAGGATGAGATGGAGGAGAATCTGGCTCATGTGGGGAGCATCGTGGGAAATCTGAAAAGCATGGCTCTGGACATCGGCAATGAGCTGGAGTCACAGAAAGATCAGATCGGCCGTATTCGGGAGGCGGTATGAAAGCTGCGACTCATCGCAGTCAGGATAGAGTCGAACAAATGTTTTCAGAAACTCTACAGGAAATCACCAGTCCAAAGACCTACTGATCCCTGGTTCACACGGCAAGATTTTAAAAAGCCACACATGATGACAGAAATAGCAGGTTTGGTCCTGTTATGCGCATGCAGACCCATTTCACTCGCCCATGTCAGGTCAAGATCCAATCCAACATGTTGAATATCCCTTAGTTTCGATCCGAGAATCTCAACGCTCTTCTGATCAGACCGAATCACTCTGATCTCTGACCATTATTTTTAAGGCCAATCACAATAATCGGTTTGTTCTTAAGATTGGTGGAAGGGAAAATCGGAGCAAAATCGGTCTAAATTCTAGCCGTGTGAACCAGACTTTATAACTTTCATCTGAAAGACTCCACACAAACGTATTCACACAGTTTGAACATTTTCTCATTTAGTCCCATTACAGCCACTAACTTCACTATGATGAACAGACAAACTCCATCAGCATGAAGTCAAAGAAAACGATACAGTATTCAGTCTTAAGCCCCCTTTACTCGCGTACCAAGAAACAGTCAATGCAGAAGCAGAACCATCAAAATCCCACTGATTCAGGAAAAACAGGCAATAAATATAAAAATACCAGTGCTGTAGAATATTCCAGACTGCTCTTGGTGATGCCTTACTTCCTGTAATGAAGCACCTGTTTCCTGTCTTTATCTGCAGGCCAACCTGAACGTCTCCCGCATTGACGCCGCCAACCAGAAAGCCAACAACCTCATGAGGCGATAGGCCAGAGCAGCTGACCCGATCAGAGTCCTGAGCAGACAGCAAACCTCTGATGTTTTTCCTCTTTTCAATTCTTTAGTGGCCAGAAATGCTTTAATCTGACAGCAGCGTTTTTTAAATGCTTCATTTTTCCCCTGTAAAGCATCTCCAGGTCCCTGCAGCAGAACCGCCAACAGCCACCGACACAACCTGATCAGGCTTCTTCAGGTTTCCTTATATGGCGAAATGAACAATTTTTTCTGTTTAGAACATCATAGAAGCAGGAACAGCTGCTGATATTCCCAGAAACCAGTCCACTTACCAGTTTGGCCAGTAGTGGTCAACCCTCCCCTCCTCAGCTCTTTCTACTGCCTCTCATGTTCCTGACTGGATGGAAAGACGTGTGCCATGGCGCCCTCTTCCGGGTTTGCCAGGCATTGCGCCCAGGAGGTAAACACGCATTTGTTCTCAGAGAAAGATCACTGGGGCCCCCAAGCGGCCGAACCTGGAACTGCTCCTTGCCGGCCACTCCATCTTCTTTTCTGCCCAAGCATCTTCTGAAATGAAGGTAAAACAACGACTGGGTCCACATTAATGAGTCATCTAAGGAGAAACCCAACGAGTCACCAAAAGAAAATACAAAAAAGTAGAACATTATTATTACTTCAAATATTAAATGTGTAATTGTTTGGTTGTATCAGAAACAATGGGCAACTTCTTTTTTTCATGTTGATGACTTTGTTTTTATAATAAATGTAGGGTTCTCAGGTTAAAATGAAAGGATGCTTTATTCGTTCAGAATTAGAAAATCATTATGTCGTTGACAAAAATCCTAATGTCGCATTAAACCCACAAAATGTAATGAATTCAACATGAATATAAGTTTGATTTCAACTCCGCAAACCTCTATAACGCTACCCATATTTTCTGATATTTATGCTTCCAGTAGGACGGTAACGTTTATCCGTCTTTGTTGCTTTGAGTTGTTTCCTTCAAATTGACAGTTGTATTGTTACCAGTGCATGACGTCATTTAAAGGCAACTTTATGTCAGACTCACTTCAGACAAAGAAAGCTCATTGTGATGTTCTGTAACTAAAATAAACAAGTTCTGCACTGAAATAGTTCAGTTTTCTGCTGCTTGGTGTGGAAATGCAGTGGTTGGTGTAAACAGTTTCCAGGCCAGCAGGGGGCGCGCAGCTGGAGCAAAAATGTTGCGCGTTTAAGGAAAGGAAAAAAACCAGAGCGCAAGGAGTCTGCGCAACGAAGTTTCGGGAGAACCGCAGAGAAAGAAGGAGGAGGAAACAGCGCCATTTTTATTTTACTGGTAATTATTTTCGACTCATTCTGCCTCCCGTCAGCGCCGCGTGGCGTCGGTATTTACCCGAAACAAGCAGCTGAAGTTCCGCCGCCGCGACAGGAAGCTGGAAATGCCAAGCAGGAGGAAAAAACAGCAGGTTTTAAACCAGGTTTTGTCCTCCATGTCTGACACCGAGAGCCGCGATTAACCGTCAGAGTGACGCCGGAAGCAGCGGCCCGACTGGCCGGAACCTTCCAGATGCAGACCGGGTCCACACCGAGACCCTGTCCACGAGCTGTCCGCCCGGAAGGCGCTTTAAACCGGCGCAGATTAGCGGAGAGTCTGGCAGAGCGACTCCACCATCAGGGAGGAGAGAGGCTGAACAAAGAGCCGCAGCGCCGCTGCTGATTGGCTCACAGCGGACACGTGACCGGCGCAGCGTTCCTTTTAAATCGGGTCATTTCACGTTAACAGGCACGCAAACTGATTGTTCCGCATTTAACGCGACCTTCCGGCAACTCTTCATATTTCAGAATCACCTGAGTTTAAATCCCGTTTACTGCTGAAATTATGCGAACATCAAGACAACAACAACAAGCTGCATTATTTATGTATTTATTACATTTACATCCAGCAACATGTGGCCAACTGTTAATATGGACATTTTGCTGTCCACTATTTTTTTTCAAAACAGGTTATATTTATTCATTGAATGATTTATAAATAAACATAAAAAAGAGTGAAGAAAAATAACAAAATGTTTACCTATTTATCACGTTTGGATAAATCTGAATCCCCTAAAAATACTTCTAATAATCCTTAATTCAGCTAAAAAGTTCAGTTCAATTCTGCATAAAATCAAACTGTTCATCCAGGCAAGTGTAAAACAATTAAGTGATTCTTAAAGAAACATGTTTATAATGGAAAGCCATTGAGCTGTTATAGGACCAGCGCCCCCTGGTGGTGAGCTGCAGACCGGTCCAAAGCCGGCAGACGAAAATGTCTTTGCATGTTTTCTTTTGGATGATGATGAACTGCAGGTTTTCTGCTGCATCCTAACTTTAAAAATTATAAGGTTGAGTTTTGTGATTTAAACAGTTTATCCTTGTTCAGACATCATTTATAAGCTGCTGCTTATAAAATCTATAAGCTTGTAGATTTTAGGGGGAATTCTGCTTAATGTTTGCTTGATGTCTTCATCCAGATCAGCAATAAGATAAAACAAAGAGGTCAAATATGCAGCGTAAGAAAATCTACTGAAACTTATTTAACAAAGGAGAATATTAATAAAAATCTACTTATTTCAGAAACTTTATCACTAAGTGAAACTTTATATGGGTAAGTTACACACATACTGATGTTGTCCAGTGGTTATTTCTGTTTAATGAACATCCATCCATTTTCTTCCACCCTGGTGGGGTCAGGAAGTGGGGTCACCTGGACAGGTCACAGACACACACACACACACACACACACACACACACACACACACACACACACACACACACACACACACACACACACACACACACACACACACACACACACACATTAAGGAGAATTTAGAGAGACCAGTTCTGGAGAACTGGAGAGAACCCACCATGCAAACTCTGTGCAGAAAGACCAAGGCCAGGAATCGAACCCAAGGCAACAGTGCTACCCACTGTTCCACTGAAAAACTGAACTGGGCTGCATGGAAAACGTCCCGAGTCTGTTGGGAGCAGCAGCAGACTCATGACGTCCCCCTGTGACGTCCCCCTGTGACGTCCCTCATGACGTCCCCCTGTGACGTCCCTCTGTGACGTCCCTCTGTGACGTCCCCCTGTGACGTCCCCCTGTGACGTCCCTCTGTGACGTCCCTCATGACGTCCCCCTGTGACGTCCCCCTGTGACGTCCCTCTGTGATGTCTCCCTGTGACGTCCCTCTGTGACGTCCCTCATGACGTCCCCCTGTGACGTCCCTCATGATGTCCCCCTGTGACGTCCCTCTGTGATGTCTCCCTGTGACGTCCCCCTGTCCTCCCTGCAGGTCTGGGCCCGGTTCTGATGGATTTCCCAGAGGATCAGAAGACGGCGGCGCCCGGCAGCGGCGGCGACGCGGCGTGGGGCGAAGACGAGGAAGACGGCGTCCATGGAGGCGTGAAGGAAGCGTTCCGGTCCAAACCCCGGTTCTCCTACACGGAGGTGAAGCTGCTGCTGGATGAGGTGAAGAAGAACAGACACATCCTCCTCAGTGAGTCGTCTGTCTGCCCGTCTCCATGGCAACCGCATCAGGACCTGTGCAGTGATGCTGTTGGCAACGTTCATCTCTCCTCCTGAATATCTTAGCTTCCTGAGTCATTCAGATTTTAATTTAGTAAAAAAACGATTCATAACAAAAACACGACTTTTGGTCGAATCCCTGAAAAATCCCCCAGATGGATGAAGCAGTGGAAGAATGGACCAGCAGGGCCACCGTACTGCTCAGCAGAACAAACATGACGCTTTTCATCTCAAACCTTTGGAGGATTTTATGAAAATTAAACATTTGACCATTTTCTACAAATAAAGATCTGCTGCTGCAAAACTTTTAGCCCCAAATTATTCACAGCCTGAATTTAAATGACTTTCATTCACAGATAGTTTCTGTCAGAAATTATAAATGGATATTTCTCTAGTTCATAAAAGTATTTATCAGTAGTTTTAGTCGGTTCCTTTTCAACAATCATTTCTGTAATTTTCTTATGGAATTAAAATCAGTGACTTTGTGGAGCTGCTTTAGAAATATTCCTGGTATTTTTGAGACTTCCTTGTGGGAACAGATTTGATCAATCAGGACATCAGGAGAGAAATATCGCCACCTGCAGGTGGGAGTGAGTATCACTTCAACACAATGTTTGGATCATTTTTTCCAGTAAGTCAGTGATTGTAGATTTTTACGTAAACTGGAGGGAGAGTAAACATGGCGGCACATCAAAACACAGCCAGAGACTGAAACAGTCAGACTGGAGCGAGAGCTTCAGCTCTGGGCTTTGACTAGGCCATGCTAGCGCATTGAATCAAGGATTTATTTGTGCAGTTCATCATCATTCTCATCCCGACTGTTTTTCCTCCAGAGAAGTTTAACCGCGGCGTGTCTGTGGACGCCAAGAAGCAGAAGTGGACCGAGATCACGGATCGGATCAACGGGCTGGAGAGAACCGCCGAGAGGTCCGTCCCTCTGTCCGTCCCTCTGGACCAATCACAGCCCGCCTTCGTCTTATCGCTCCCTCTTTGTTCTGCTCAGACGCGGCAGATCATGAAGAAGTGGGCGGATCTGAAGTGCGACGGGAAGCGGCGGCTGCTGGCCCTGCGGGGCCCCAACGGCTCCAACCTGAGGAAGAAGCGTCTGGGCCCGGTGGAGCGCATGGTGCACCGCATCCTGATGATGAGTCCTTCTAGAGGTCAGCGTCTCCTCCTGCTTCCCTCTGTCCTCTGGCTCTTCAGCCTGAGTTTGTGCCAGACCGCCCGTCCCGTTTTGTCCGCTCTGGGCTGCCGTAGAACCATCATGGCGCTCCGTGCCGGCCCAGTCTCTTACCAGCTGCTGTGGTGTTCGGGTCCCCAGATGGCGGCAGCGACCAGGACTGGAGTCCTGCCGAGGATTTTCCCAAGTCGCTCCAGACGGGTCCACTGATGCAGCCGCCGGCGCCGTATTCCTACCTGAACCTCAGCGAGAACTCCGGTTCCCACGGCGACGGCCTGTCCTTCGACATGTCGCCTCTGTCCTCGCCGGAGAACGAACCCGGTGAGCAAATTAAAACCCTTAAAACGGCGGTGAAAGTAGGCAGAGATTAATTTCTGCAACATTTGTGCCTTTAATGTTCCAGTTCCATAAACATCCATAATAATTTAACAACAATCATGATAAGTGATGCAGCTGGAGGCGGGGCCACACGCACACTGAGAACGGCCCCGAAGGTAAAGGTGGAAGCAGCTCAGGTCCAGCATGTGTGGGGTCTGCAGAGCTGCTAGCTGGCTCCCTGACCTTTGACCTGTTCAACTCCTGGATGGAGTCACATCCTCCGCTGACCTGATGTTGTTGATGTTTCGCAGACGAGCTGATCCACTCCTCCTCCGAGTTCGAGCAGGCCGATGATGAAGGTAAGACGGCGATGATGATGATGACGATGAAGGATCCAGTCTGTGGGTGGTTCTGAAGGTTCCGGACCGGAGGCCCGGCTGAAGGTTCCGGACCGGAGGCCCGGCTGAAGGTTCTGTGCCCCCCTCTCTCCTCCAGGTCCGTCCTCCCAGGACTTCAGGCAGAGGATCAGACCCGTCTTTACGTACTCCAGGACCCACCAGAACCAGAAATCCTGCAGCCTCCCTCCAGGGGGCGCCGCTCCCTCCTCCTCTACATCGGCTGCGGCCGGCGGCCCGCCGCCTGCCCCGTCGCTCCCGTCCCGGCCGTCCCCGTCCCGGCTGTCGTCCCAGAGCCTCCAGCAGCAGCGCGCGGGCCGCCTGCTGCTGGGCTCGGTGTCGCGCTCCCTGGAGGTTCTGACCCGGTCCGTCCAGCTGCTGGTAGAGAGCCAACAGGAGTTCGTCCAGGAGTCGCTGCAGCTGCAGCGGGACGCCGTGGACGTCCTCCGGGACTTCTCGGAGACCGCGCTGCGAATGCTGAGGGACAAAACCAGCAGCGGACCGCCCGGACCGGCCCAGAACCACCAGCAGAATCCCCCTACCGGGTCCCAGCAGCAACATCCAGCCTCACGGTTCTGACCCTCCTACTGATCCATCCGACCAGAACCAGAACGCAGGACAAAGTCGGAGCCGTTGTTTCTGATCCGGTCGGTTCTGACCCGGAAACGACCCGGCGGCCGGTTCTGGCTCTTTATTTATTGACATCCTGCTCACATCCTCATGTTGGCAGCAGGACAAACGGAGAAAAACTCCTAATTATTTGTATTTTTCAATCAACTCACTGTATTTTGGTAAGTTGTTGACATTAAACACAGGAAGCAAAAACAATAAACAAACCATAATTTAGCAAAACAGGAACAGGCTGAAGCCAAAGCAAAGACCAGGACTGGAGCGTCTCCCGCAACGCACCTGAGTCAAATAATGATGTCATCAGCAGGACTCCGCAGAACCGGACTGGATTTAGGATGTGATTCAGCTGTTGGACCAGGGAGACGTCTCAGACCGGGTCGGCCCCCCAGGACCGGGTCGGCCCCCCAGGACCGGGTCGGCCCTCCGGTCCTGGCTTAGACCTTTTACCGAAATGGTTTTTACTCATTTCCTACAGAATCACACTAAAAATATGGCAGAAAATAAACACTCATCATTTCAACCAGACCTTGAAACCCCGAGTTTTCAGTTTCTAAATTAACAGCAAACTTCGGTTTGTTTAGCCTTTTATAAGAGAAAAATAGCAGTTCAATTTTCAACAATAATGAATGAATTAATAAGTGTCACAGGTTGTAACATTTTTAACTGGCTAACTACATAGTTAGCTTGCTTACTGAATATTTAGCTCTAAGCTAGCTAAATATTTAGTTATCAAGCTATTTAAATCCAAATGAACTATTTAGCTCTGAGCTAATTTGCAAATTCACTTGGCATTAACTGGAAGTGGACTACCAAAATAAAAGCTGGGTTTGGTGAGCTTCCCTATGAACTCCTGCTGGTCAGTCTGATGCGTTTCTGCTGCTGTAGGTAAGAGGAAACATCAGGATGGCCTTTAAAAAACTTTCTGTAGGAATGTGGAAATACAATTGTATCATGAATAATAAATGAAAGATGAGATTCTGCAGAAACTGTCCTCCAAGATGGCCACTCTTTGTCCTCGGGTTCAGGAGAGGAGAGGGGACATGGGCTCCATGCAGCCCGGACCTCCCACAGAACACCTGCTGCTGAGGGGGCGGAGCCAGGAGGATCTGAAACTGCTTCTGCAGCCTCTGATTGGAAAGTGATAAAACATGTATCTTCAGGAAATACTGTAATTCAGTCCAGCAAACAGAGAAACAGCTGAGACACTGCTCCACTTAAACACACATTTTTATCCAAATTATCACTGTATAGGAAAGGTTAGATTTACAGCATAAAACTACGCACAGTAAATGGAAGTCATATTGGAACATGGATTTATTGGAATTGGTTTAAAAAATTTTTAAAGTAAAGAAGGCAAATTTATGCTGGGTCATTGAAGATTCGCTGTTTTTTTTTTAACATGAACTAAAAATTATTGAGAATAATCGGTTTCAAACAGAGACAAAATCTATTGACATGTCAAATCTAAACTTTAGACATCTTTTAAATAAAAAATTCCATAATTGCTGACATGACCCTCTCAATATGGCGGACATGTTAACGTCCCGCTAATGCCCTGTGTGGTTGGGACTTCCTGGTGTTCTATTCCGTGATTGGTTGGTCCAGCCTGACCCCAGTGCGCAGACTCGTGCTTCTCTCCGGTACAATGGCGGCGGTTGCAGCGCCGTCCTTCGTGTTTTGTCGGGTTTTTGTCCGCGGAGCCGCAGCGGGAGAGTTAATGAAGCTGTAAGGTGGAAACAGCAGCAGTTGGTGAACTCTGGGAAGAAGAGAAACGGTTTGAGGCTCCGCTGGAACCGCTCAGTAACCGTTAAAGGAAAGTTTGGAGAGAGAAAAGCTAGCAGAGATGTGGAGACAGCAGGTCCAACAGCGACTGGACGCAGCGGAGCAGCAGAGACACGAAATCCTGGAAGCTGCTTTCAGCCCCGAACATCGGCTGCACACATCAGGTTTGGAGGTTTTCCTTCTTCATCAGGGAGGGCAGCTGCAGGCCGGAGCAGCCGCCAGGACTTAGCTGCTGGTTAGCTCGCTGCGAAAATGTATCCTCGCTTGTTCAAGGTGCATTACGGTAATAGCTGGTGACGTCACATAAGGGTCCAACGGGAGAGAAACTGCTTGGATGTGACGTCTGTGGACAAATTCAGCATCTCGAGGAGGAAGGAGGATTCTTAATTATGAATATTCTCTTATCTAATTTTAATATTATTAATCTTGGACAAAATAAATATAGTTATGGATATCAGATGATCTAGAACTTTTTCTGGGAGGAATAACGTTTAGATAGAAAAACTCTTAGTTGCTTGCAAGAATTAAATTATTCATACTTGGTAGAGAATTTCTTGGTCTGTTATTAAATGTTAACACTGCTTGCCATAGAGGCGTCCTATGTCTCCTTACAGTTAGTACAAGATGCTTTGACACATAAGATCTTTGTTTCCTCTCCAGAATTTTGTTAATTGTAAAGAAGGTTCAATAAGAAAAACCTCAAAAATTATTCTTTTCTTTTTTACTTCAAGAAAAATATTAAGGCGGGCGGCGCCGCGGGCATAGTTCCGAACTTTAACCACATTAGTTTTATCTGTAAAGCAATTTATTTTAAATATTTTTAATAATTTACTTTCTTTAAAAATTCTAAATATAAACAAATGCTATTACTTCAATGTAAAAACAATAAATTAAATAATTTCTTTGCCAGTGCTCCCTAATGACAATGGCTATTTTTCAAACTTGCTCCACGGACAACTGACAATGCCCCTGGGGGCGACCGGGTTGGTGACCCCTGACCTATGACAAGCTGTTGATGTTCATAAATGACCTGCAGACAAGTTTTATGTACATAAAGTACATAAAGTGTTTCTGTGTTCCCTGCAGATGTTCTGCTGGTTAAAGAAGAACCAAGTCCTGATCTGGACCAGAACCATCCAGAACCTGTCCACATAAAGGAGGAAGAGGAGGAACCCTGGAGCAGCCAGCAGGGGGCGCCGCCCAGCGTGAAGGAGGAGGCTGAGGCCTCCAGGTCTCCAGTCATCACTGTTCTCATAAAGAGCGAAGATGATGAAGAGGAGCCTCTCAGCCCTCATCTTCATCAATCAGAAGATGGAGAACTGCCAAGCAGCAGCAGCAGCTCAGCTCAGAAGAACCTGAAAACAGAAGCTGAGGGGGAGGAAGAAGGGGAGGATGATGATGTGGAGCAGCCTGACTCAGGGGCTGAAACTGAAGACAGTGATGATGAGTGGAAGGAGAGCAGGAGTCCTGAGTCAGAGGCCAACAGATCCCTGAGCTGCTCTGAATGTGGCCAGCAGTTTAACAGCAAGCGCTCTCTTCAGACTCACAATCATTCAGCAGCGTCTTGTCGCTCAGCCAGTGAGGTCCAGGCAGAGCTGAAGCTGTATGGTTGTCCTGACTGCGGTAAATGTTTCAACAGGAAGGATTATCTCAACAAACACATGAAATGCCACACAGGAGAGAAACCCTATAGGTGTGATGTTTGTGAACAAAGATTTAGAGTTAAGTCTAAATTAAATCGACACATAAAAATTCACACAGGAGAAAAACCATTTAGTTGTGAGGTTTGTGAACAAAAATTTAGAGTGAAATCAAGTTTAAACAGACACATCAGAGTTCACACAGGAGACAAACCGTTTAGCTGTGACTTTTGTGGACGAAAATTTCGTAATAAGTCTACTTTAAACAATCACATCAGAATTCATGCTGGAGAAAAAGCATTTCTTTGTGATGTTTGTGAACAGAAGTTCAGGTTAAAATCAACTTTAAAAAGTCACATGAGAGTTCACACAGGAGACAGACCATTTATTTGTGATGTTTGTGGGCAACGATTTATCGGAAAATCTGCTTTAAACCGTCACATGGCAATCCACACAGGAGATAACCATTTGGTTGTGATGTCTGTGGGAAAAGATTCAGTGAAAATTCTCACTTAAACTGCCACATGAGAATCCACACAGGAGACAAACCGTTTAGTTGTGATGTTTGTGAGCAAAGATTTCGATTCAAGTCAAATCTAAACAGACACGTGAAAAGTCACACAGGAGAAAGACCTTATGGATGTGACGTTTGTGGACGAAGATTTTTTCAGAAGTCTGCTTTAAATGGTCACATGACAATCCACAGACGAGATAAACCATTTGGTTGTGATGTATGTGGTCGAAGATTTACTGCAAAACCTGCCTTAAAAAATCACATGAGGATCCACACTGGAGGAGAAACTGCTTAGGGAACAATAAATGCTTATTTATTCAAGAATGGGCTCTCTGGGTACTCCCACCGTCTAAAAAACATGAATTGGTCTCTAAACTGCCTTTATGTGAGTCCACACTTTATGTTCTTTGTATAGACACCAACGGACAGGCACGTGAAAAGTCACACAAGAGGAAAACCATGTAGCTGTAAAAAAATGAGTCAAAAAGTCAGCTTTAAACCGACATGACGATCCACACGGGGGGAACCATTCGGCTGTAATGTTTGTGGAAGAAGATTTAATGACGAGTTCAATTCAATGAGAATCAACACAGGAGACAAACCATACAGTCGTGACATTTGTGAGCATAAATTTTGATTCAAGTCCAATTTAAACTGACATGTAGAAAGCCATGCAGTAAACGAAGAGAATCATCTGGTTCTACTTCTTCTGGTTCTACATCATCTGGTTCTACATAATCTGGTTCTACATCGTCTGGTTCTACATCATCTGGTTCTACATAATCTGGTTCTACATCGTCTGGTTCTACTTCTTCTGGTTCTACCCAGGACTGGGTCAGAGTTCAGGTGAGGATCAGCAGCTTTCCTTCCACAGGTGGAGCGTTGCAGCTTTCCATTAAGCTCCACCTGAAGTGAAGCAGAATGATCCGAAGGCATCGACTGAAAAACATTCATTGTGAATAAATGATTTGGTGTAAATAAAAGTAGGAAAGTATGAAATGTTGTAACAGCTTTCTTTAGAATTATTTTCCCTAAATGAGAATTATAAAATAAAACCTTGACTCAGAAAAGACATCAGTGGCTCATCAAACAGATTCTGCAATAAAAATACAGAAAAGCAGCACTAAGCATTTTACATCCAGTGGTAAAAAATCGTTTCCATTTCTTCAAGCATCTTATTGAACCTCAAAGCTTTCAGAGGACTTTGAGGTCGATGGTGGCAGTTTGTTGGTTCCATTCCCAGCGCACAGCAGCCTGGCCTCTACAGACGGGAAGCTTGGCGGGTGAACGTGTGAACCGGTGACCGGTGGACGGGTGAACGTGTGAACCGGTGGACGGGTGAACGTGTGAACCGGTGGACGGGTGAACGTGTGAACCGGTGGACGGGTGAACGTGTGAACCGGTGGACGGGTGAACGTGTGAACCGGTGAACGTGTGAACCGGTGGACGGGTGAACGTGTGAACCGGTGGACGGGTGAACTTACCGCAGATGGCTCCTCTGGACTCAGACCTGCTGCAGCAGAAGGAGAATAAGTTGTAACAATCACTAAGTTTGTTCCAAAAAATAAAGTGAATTCTTAGAACAGTTTTCATTACGTGACTGTTGATCCGAAGTTTCCCCTGGTTTTTGGGCAGCGTCATGCTGGGTTGAGACCAGTATAAGAAGGGAGGCGGGAGGTTTGGCTTTACCAGCGTTTGGAACAAGAAGAAGAGAAAGAAAAGACAAACGGCAGTCAGACTTCACCCTGCGTCACAGATGGTGTGTTTGGAAACCAGATCGGAGCTGAGGAAATGAGGAAACAAGGAAATGAGAAAATGAGGAAACGGGGGTAGAATGACGCTCCCAGTGAAATCTGGAAAATGCTTTTCTTTCAGCACAGTTTTGGTGGCACCACTATTTTTTCTCATTATTTTTAGGGGATTTTGTCTTGAATTTTTCATTTTGGATCAGGATTGAAATGGAATATTGCAGGACTTTGTTTTTGAGGCACATTATTCTGATTAAAACGAACTGGCATTTTTGGACATTTATTTATTTTTTGTGCTGAGATAAATAGTGATTTAAATCTCACCTTTTATTATTTTTGAGGATATTTGGTTCCTGATATGTTATTGGTCAAAATAACTTATTTCTTAGTAATGTAGTTTTTGAATAAGTCATTGTTGCCAAAAATAAACAAATTCCATATAAAGAGGTTGAATATTTTATTCTCTAATTAAACCACTTGCTGTAACATATTTCACCTGATTCCTGAGACAAAACTTTCTTGATGAAATTAGTTCTGCTTTAAGTCCAGTTGAATTTTACACTGAACTGTGTTCTCTGTGTTTCTAACTGGTCTGCCTGTGGTTGTAGAGCTGGAGGAGGAAGTGAAGGACGCCGTTCAGTCCGTGTTGGTCACACTCCAAACATTGAGCCAACATGGACAGTCGCCTCGTTCGGCTCTTCTCTCACTGCAGAGGATGAAGGTTGTTTGCAGTGCAGGTAATATCTGGGAAGGTTCTTAGCATCAAACTGGCGCTTTACAAATGTCGCGGGCAAACATTGGCAATTGGGTAAAATTTAAAACCTCCACACAGGAAGCAGTCATCCCTGAACAGCTGAGAGCCCAGAGTCTGTGAACGCAGCAAAATGTTCAGAGGTCGAAAAGGCAAAACTGAAACAGGTTTTATGATGACTGCTTCAGAACATGGACTTGGTTCTGACTAACCCGGTGGTCTGCTGAGAGTCATTCCCAGGTGGACGGTCTTCCAGATGGAGGGTCTTCCATCTGGAAGGTTAAAGGTACTTGACCATTAACCTCGTGGTTAGAAAATTCTCCATATATCAGAAGCTAAAAGAGCCAAACCTTTGCCAGGTTGTTTAAAGGGTCACTACTCAGAGTGAAAATAAACGTTTGTTACTGAAAAACAGAAACGTTTTATTAATTATCTGTCTCTTGTTTCTGATATTTAAACTTAAAGCTATTTGTGAAGAGTGAACTGTAGAGCTTTTAAAACTGCTTAAGCTGCTCCTAATCTTCACTAAATTATACATCGAGCGCATTTCCCTCCCAATATGGCGGACATGTTGACGTCTATCTGATGTCCTGTGGGCGGGACTTCCGGGTGTTTCGTTTCCCGGAGGCTCGCATGAACCCCAGTGCGCAGACTCGTGACTGTTCAGTTAGCAGAGCTAGTTGCAGCGCCGTCCTTCGTGTTTTGTCGGGTTTTTGTCCGCGGAGCCGCAGCGGGAGAGTTAATGAAGCTGTAAGGTGGAAACAGCAGCAGTTGGTGAACTCTGGGAAGAAGAGAAACGGTTTGAGGCTCCGCTGGAACCGCTCAGTAACTGTTAAAGGAAAGTTTGGAGAGAGAAAAGCTAGCAGAGATGTGGAGACAGCAGGTCCAACAGCGACTGGACGCAGCGGAGCAGCAGAGACACGAAATCCTGGAAGCTGCTTTCAGCCCCGAACATCCCGGTTGGTGCCTTTACTTTCCCATTATCAGCTGTGGACTGGGCGGACTGGGTGGACTGGTCTAGTCAGGGACCGTGTCTGGAAAGCTCGGACTCTCCTGCTGCTGTTCAGCAGCTGCTAGCTGGACAGCAGCCGAGAGCCGCATGAGCGTCCGAGCAGCAGGTCAACGGAGCCGCCATGTTGCGAGTGGCATTTCTGTTTACGTGAACACATTAGCATGACCGCTGGGGGGCGCCGTTGTTCACGGTACTCCAACAAGTCACTTTTTCCGCATTATCTAAACACAATAATAATAACTCCCAAACTCTAGTAAATTGGTCTCCAAATTAAATCTTAAAACCTAAATTAGATATTTATCTTTTAGATTTGCGGATCAGTTTTGAATCTTGAGATTTTTAAAAAGTTGTATACGTTTGTATTTTTTATGAGTAAAGTTTGAACGTAATTAAAACACATTTCAGCATTTTAAAGGGGCATTATGTAAAATCCACTATTTTGAGCTGCTCTGTTATTCCCCCATCAAAAACAAATATGGAGTGTTACCTTGAGAAATCCTTTACTCTCCATAGAAACCATTCAGTTCAACACGCTGAGGCTGGAGATCAGCTACATGATCCCGAGTTATTTTCTGTTTCTCTTTTAAGTTCTTGCAAAGAGTTTTAATCAAACATTTCTGATCATTTAGAGTAAAGAAGAGCTAATGGTAGCAGTTGACTCAATTCAGACCACTAACAGTTTTTAGGTGCACAATATTTTCTACTGAATCATATTAAACGTGATCGTTTTACTGGAACATTGTGTTTAATTCTCTGTCCATGAAGGAAGGATTGTTTTAACGATGAAGAATCTAGTAAACAAAGTTATCGATCTGAAGCAGACAGGATGGGTAAACACTTTGAAACATCTCAAGATGATATTAATGAAATGACAAAATCTACATTATACTTGCAAATCTTTTCAGGACTGAAATCTTAATAAAATTTCAAGGTCAGTCTTTTTGGACATTCAAGTCATTTTTCGTGTTGGGAATTGTTTCAGGCTTGTTCTCGTGCAGCGTTACGGTAGATGATCATCGGTCGTTGATCGCAGCATAGAAACATTTTCTACATGCAATGAGCTTTTTCACTGTTTCAGCTGGAAGCGGATCAGAACCAGTCGTCAGTGCATTTCCCTCCAGGCGGCTGAACGGAGCTCCCCCTGCAGTAGCAGTGTTTCTCCAGCAGGGGGTTTGGACTTTAGGATGCAGACCAGAACCACAGGATGTGCCAAGATCCATGAGCAGCTGGGTCACATTGGCTCTATCAAAATATCTGTCTTACACGTTCTGTTAATCATTTAAGGTTTTCTTTCTCAGCTGGAGTTCAGAGGTCAGTAAGTGTCCAAATTGTTTCTTGTTGTTTATGTAAAATCCTGTTTGAATATTGTCTTTTTATCTTCAGGGACACTTCTCTGATCTCTCTGCGTAATAAATACGTTGTTTCTGTTAGCCGGCCTGGATTCTGAAGGATGGAGGCCGCAGAAAGATCTGCAGGTTGACTTTCGGTTGATCACTGAACCTTCAGCCTGTTTTCTCGGACTGCAGCCTCCTTCACGGCTTCGTGTGAACTAATCCCAGCTCTCCCATCTTCTCTGCAGATGTTCAGCTGATGCTGCTGGTGGAGGAAGATCCTCCTGAAGACCAGAGTTCTGATGCGGAGCAGCCGGATCCAGCGGCCGTCTGCATTAAGCAGGAGCAGGAAGAGCTGTGGAGCAGCCTGGAGGAGGAGGAGGAGCTCCCTCCCTCTGGAGACGCTTTCCCTTTAAATATAGTCATTGTGAAGGGTGAGAATGACGAAGACGATGATGAAGAGGAGGAGAAACCTTTGTTCTCACATCGTCATCAAGCAGAAGATGAAGATCTTCCAAGCGGCTCTGCTGATCCGTCGAAGGGAGAAAGTGATGAAGAGGACGGTGAGGTAGCAGGGTCCAGCAGAAGGCTTGACCACAACATTCACAGAGAGGCTCTGAACTCTTCAGAGACCGAGGAGAGCGAGGAGTACGATAGATCAAAGCGTGGAGAAGCTGACCTGAAGCCCCTATCGGGTTCTGAGTCCGGAGCCGAAGACGACTGGACTCCTCCGGGAAACAAGACCCTGAGCTGCTCCGAGTGCAGCAACCAGTTCGCCAGCAAGCGCTCCCTCCAGAGACACATGACGGGTCATTCCATCATTCGCTCTCTGCACTGCAATGAGAAGCGGAAGCAGAAAGACATCAATTCACCAGGTAAAGATCAAACTGCCCTCAAATATTTTAGTTGTGACTGTGGGAAAAGTTTCACCAGGAGAACCGATCTGAAGATCCACATGAGGATCCACACCGGAGAGAAACCCTTCTGCTGCGACGTCTGTGGTCAGAGGTTCAACCAGCAGGCCCATCTGAACCAGCACACCAGAATCCACACTGGAGACAAACCCTTCTGTTGTGACGTTTGTGGGAAAAGATTCAGCCAGAAGGCACATCTAAACCGGCACACAGTGAGCCACTCAGGGGAGAAACCCTTTGAGTGCGACGTGTGTGGACAGAGGTACAGCCAACAGGCCAACCTGAACAAGCACAGGAGGAGCCACACTGGAGAGAAACCCTTCGGATGTGATCTGTGCGGACAGCGGTTCAGCCACAAGGAGTCGCACAAAATCCACATGAGGCTGCATTCAGGAGAGAAACCGTTTGGCTGTGATGTTTGTGGACAAAGGTTCAGCCACAAGGAGTCCCTGAAGATCCACATGAGGACACATACAGGGATGAAGCCGTTCGCCTGTGAAGTGTGTGGACAAAGATTTGGCTACAAGTCCAACTTAAAAATACACATGAGGCTCCACACTGGAGAGAAACCGTTTTCCTGCGATTTTTGTGGACAAAGATTCATCCAGAAAGGAAATCTGGACAAACACACAAGAGTCCATGTTGAAGGGAGGGGCGTCTTACTCTGAGCAGCAGAAAGACTACTTATGACCACAGGGGGATTTAATAGCTTGTTTTAGACGATGTTCTTAATATTTATTGTTTCTGTTAATAAAATGTCCTGCGTGTTGAATGACGGCTGGATGGTGGCGCTAATGAGCTAATTCGGCTTTGCTTTGTTCATGTCATCAATTAGCAACTGAGTGAATGTTCTGTTTGTGTTTTTTGGCACTGGTGTTCCCGAAACCCATGAACGTAACGTCTGCTACTATGGCTAGCACAACTGTTGTCAACTGGTTGCTATGCTAACGGGTGTGAGGCGAAGCAAATGCATTTAGAAACAAAATAAGTGGTTTTGAGTTGTTCACCTCTTTTTCAGCACTTTCTTCATTTATTCTTCTTCAGCAACTTTAAGAACTGACAGAAACCAAACTATAGATTTGTTTCTGGGAAGGAAACAAAGTTATCATAACAGTTTGCTCAGCTTTAATCAAAGACATTTTGTAGCAGGCGATTCAAATATCGTGACAGATTCCTGCTCACCCTGTGCTGGAGATAACTGTGCAGTAATGGTGGCTAGCAGTAGCTTTGGCTAGCGGTAGCTGTGGCTAGCGGTAGCTGTAACTAGCGGTAGCTGTGGCTAGCGGTAGCTGTGGCTAGCGGTAGCTGTGGCTAGCGGTAGCTGTAGCTAGCGGTAGCTGTAACTAGCGGTAGCTGTGGCTAGCGGTAGCTGTGGCTAGCGGTAGCTGTAGCTAGCGGTAGCTGTAACTAGCGGTAGCTGTGGCTAGCGGTAGCTGTGGCTAGCGGTAGCTGTGGCTAGCGGTAGCTGTAACTAGCGGTAGCTGTGGCTAGCGGTAGCTGTAGCTAGCGGTAGCTGTAACTAGCGGTAGCTGTGGCTAGCGGTAGCTGTGGCTAGCGGTAGCTGTGGCTAGCGGTAGCTGTAGCTAGCGGTAGCTGTGGCTAGCGGTAGCTGTAGCTAGCGGTAGCTGTGGCTAGCGGTAGCTGTAGCTAGCGGTAGCTGTAACTAGCGGTAGCTGTGGCTAGCGGTAGCTGTGGCTAGCGTCAGCAGCTAACTCGCCGTCCTGTGCAATAATGCACATCGACGTGGTCACCATGGTTACACCCAGCTGCTCCAACCCGCACCATAACTACAAATGTGTTGATGCTTTTTTTTTTTTATGCGATCATCACAACCAAAAGAAACCCAGAAATAATTTTCCAAGAAAAATACTTTTTATTTCATTATAAATCCACATATTTGTGTCTATGAAAGCATAAAATTCCCGTTTCACATGTTGCCGTGGTTTTTCTCCGTTTGTTTCGTTACGGTTAAAGTAAATTCTGGGCGTCAAACCGCTGAAGACTGTTAGGTGGATGTCACATACAAACACAGACACTGTCAGACAGCAACAGGGGAGGGAGGGGACAACGCATCATCTGCGGCCATCTTTTAAAACCACTTCATACATTCCACGCCGGTTCAGTCCGCCGGCGTTTCAGCTGCAGATCCTCCAGGTCACGTCATGGACGCTAACGTCCAGTGTGTCCGTTTGTCCCTAAAACAGAGAGAGGGAGGAGGGACGACCAAACGTCTGGAGGTCAGAGGTCGTCCTTCCATCGCTCGTTTCTCAGGCCAAGGCGTCCAGCAGGAGGTGCTGCTCCCACAGTAATCCTTTGGCATGTGACCGTATAGTGAGGAGAGGAGCAGCGGCACCAGAACTTCCTGACTGGACCGACCCGCAGTTCTGCCAGAACCTCACCGGGTCCAGAACATCAGCAGGCTGAGACCCGGACCGGCTCTGGACCGGAGGCGGTCCCAGTTCCCTTCATCACGGCCAGAACACCTGGAGGAGAGGGGCAGGGGTTAGTCTCCACAGCAACAGGACGGAAGAAGTATTCACGCCCCTAAATGTTCAGAACCTCACAGACTGCCTGTCTGTAGACTGGACTTTGACTAGACCGTTCGAACCTATGAATCGAAACATCCCATAATGTCTAGCTGCATGTTCAGGCTGGATGGTGACCTTTGACCCCAGTTTTCAGCCAAAGGAAGCCTCTGGCCGTTTGCTTCGCCTGAAGGTTCATGACTCACTAGTGCCACCTGCTGCTGAAACGGCCTCATCATACTCCAACCTGAATCTGGTTCCCCGCGGGGGGTTGAGCCGGACTCCCCGCGGGGGGGGGGGGGGGTGAGCCAGCCGCTTCCTGTTTCGTCTTTCTCTCAGGTTTCTAATTGGTGCTGATCCATGGACTTCAACAGCTTCAAGTCGGTTTCTGCTGTGGACTGAATGCCTGCCAGCAGGGGGCGCACCGCCAACATCAGATTATTAAGAATCAAAAAGAAAATGTTCAGTTTCACAACCAAAGAAAAGATCTGAAATTCTGCAGTTCCTGTCCATCACCAGCAGGGGTCACCATAGAACAAGACCTCAATTTCTGATGGGAAATCAGACTGAGTGCAACGTTCATTCACCAACACGTCCTGCTGAGGTCATGAGGCGGATGGGGTCAGAGGTCAACTGTTTGTCTGAACACAGAGGTCAAGAGCACAGGAAGTGGATGAATTGACTGTTTCCTCTTCCTCCTCCTGCTGGCGTTTTATTCCTCCGTCTCCGACTCATCTGGACGTTTGTCTGGTTGCTTCTCTGCAGTCCATCAGCCTTCCTCCTCCTCCTCCTCCTCCTCTTCTGTCCGTCTCTCTCCTCACGTCCAGAGATTAAATGGCTTTTATTTTAGTTGTGGCTTTTCTGAGCCAGCTGCTGGGAAGGGATAGATGTGAGAAGCACCAGCCTTGGATTAGACCATTCCCTTTCTGCAGGAGCCAGATGTAAAGCAAAGAAGATGCGCCGTTTCTCTGTGCCACGGCTCCAGCAGGGGGGCTGCGTGATTAATGTGAGTTTTGTACGGAATAGAAGCAGCAGCCGACTGTTTAACTGCAGAGTCAAACGAACACCAGAGCTAGTGCTAGCTAACTGTCCGGAAGTTGGCCTGCGCCTGAAGTTCACCTGAATGCTTCATCTGAGCTGAACTGATTCATTACAAAGAACTGATTCATTACAAAGAACTGATTCAGTATGAAGAACTGATTCAGTATTGAGAACTGATTCAGTATGAAGAACTGATTCATTACAAAGAACTGATTCAGTATGAAGAACTGATTCATTACAAAGAACTGATTCAGTATGAAGAACTGATTCAGTATGAAGAACTGATTCATTACAAAGAACTGATTCATTACGAAGAACTGATTCAGTACAAAGAACTGATTCAGTATGAAGAACTGATTCATTACAAAGAACTGATTCAGTATGAAGAACTGATTCATTACAAAGAAGTGATTCAGTATGAAGAACTGATTCAGTATGAAGAACTGATTCAGTATGAAGAACTGATTCATTACAAAGAACTGATTCATTACAAAGAACTGATTCATTACGAAGAACTGATTCAGTATGAAGAACTGATTCAGTATGAAGAACTGATTCATTACAAAGAACTGATTCAGTATGAAGAACTGATTCAGTATTGAGAACTGATTCAATACGAAGAACTGATTCATTACAAAGAACTGATTCAGTATGAAGAACTGATTCATTACAAAGAACTGATTCAGTATGAAGAACTGATTCATTACAAAGAACTGATTCATTATGAAGAACTGATTCAGTACAAAGAACTGATTCAGTATGAAGAACTGATTCATTACAAAGAACTGATTCATTACAAAGAACTGATTCATTACAAAGAACTGATTCATTACAAAGAACTGATTCAGTATGAAGAACTGATTCAATACGAAGAACTCATTTAGTATGAAGAACTGATTCAGTATGAAGAACTGATTCATTACAAAGAACTGATTCATTACAAAGAACTGATTCAGTATGAAGAACTGATTCATTACAAAGAACTGATTCAGTATGAAGAACTGATTCATTACAAAGAACTGATTCATTATGAAGAACTGATTCAGTACGAAGAACTGATTCAGTATGAAGAACTGATTCATTACAAAGAACTGATTCATTACAAAGAACTGATTCATTACAAAGAACTGATTCAGTATGAAGAACTGATTCAATACGAAGAACTCATTTAGTATGAAGAACTGATTCAGTATGAAGAACTGATTCATTACAAAGAACTGATTCATTACAAAGAACTGATTCAGTATGAAGAACTGATTCATTACAAAGAACTGATTCAGTATGAAGAACTGATTCATTACAAAGAACTGATTCAGTATGAATAACTGATTCATTACAAAGAACTGATTCATTACGAAGAACTGATTCAGTATAAAGAACTGATTCATTACAAAGAACTGATTCTGTATGAAGAACTGATTCATTACAAAGAACTGATTCAGTATGAAGAACTGATTCATTACAAAGAACTGATTCAGTATGAAGAACTGATTCATTACAAAGAACTGATTCAGTATGAAGAACTGATTCATTACAAAGAACTGATTCATTACAAAGAACTGATTCATTACAAAGAACTGATTCAGTATGAAGAACTGATTCATTACAAAGAACTGATTCAGTATGAAGAACTGATTCATTACAAAGAACTGATTCAGTATGAAGAACTGATTCATTACAAAGAACTGATTCATTACAAAGAACTGATTCAGTATGAATAACTGATTCATTACAAAGAACTGATTCATTACAAAGAACTGATTCAGTATGAAGAACTGATTCATTACAAAGAACTGATTCAGTATGAAGAACTGATTCATTGCAAAGAACTGATTCAGTATGAAGAACTGATTCAATACGAAGAACTGATTCATTACAAAGAACTGATTCAGTATGAAGAACTGATTCATTACAAAGAATTGATTCAGTATGAAGAACTGATTCATTACAAAGAAGTGATTCAGTATGAAGAACTGATTCATTACAAAGAAGTGATTCAGTATGAAGAACTGATTCATTACAAAGAACTGATTCAGTATGAAGAACTGATTCAGTACGAAGAACTGATTCATTACAAAGAACTGATTCATTACAAAGAACTGATTTAGTATGAAGAACTGATTCAGTATGAAGAACTGATTCATTACAAAGAACTGATTCATTACAAAGAACTGATTCAGTATGAAGAACTGATTCATTACAAAGAACTGATTCAGTATGAAGAACTGATTCAATACGAAGAACTGATTTAGTATGAAGAACTGATTCAGTATGAAGAACTGATTCATTACAAAGAACTGATTCAGTATGAAGAACTGATTCATTACAAAGAACTGATTCAGTATGAAGAACTGATTCAGTACGAAGAACTGATTCAATTTGAAGAACTGATTCATTACGAAGAACTGATTCATTACAAAGAACTGATTCAGTATGAAGAACTGATTCATTACAAAGAACTGATTCAGTATGAAGAACTGATTCATTACAAAGAACTGATTCATTATGAAGAACTGATTCAGTACGAAGAACTGATTCATTACAAAGAACTGATTCATTACAAAGAACTGATTCAGTATGAAGAACTGATTCAATACGAAGAACTGATTTAGTATGAAGAACTGATTCAGTATGAAGAACTGATTCAATACAAAGAACTGATTCATTACAAAGAACTGATTCAGTATGAAGAACTGATTCAATACAAAGAACTGATTCAGTACAAAGAATTGAAGATTTTCTTAGTTTTAATGATCAGCTTAGTGTGTGAAAGCTTTTTTTTCCACATTTAAAAATCAGATGACTGAAACTATTTGTTTATCAACCTGATTCAGTACAAAGAACCGATTCATTATGAAGAACTGATTCATTATGAAGAACTGATTCATTATGAAGAACTGATTAATTAAGAAGAACTGATTCATTAAGAAGAACCAATTCAGCATGAAGAACTGATTCATTAAGAACTGATTCAGTAGAAAGAACTGCTTCATTATGAAGAAGTGATTCAGTACAAAGAACTGATTCATTAAGAACTGATTCAGTAGAAAGAACTGCTTCATTATGAAGAAGTGATTCAGTACAAAGAACTGATTCATTATGAAGAAGTGATTCAGTACAAAGAACTGATTCATTATGAAAAACTGTTCTGGATCTGAACCGCTCAGAAGCGGTTGGACCTCCCGCCCACTTGAGTCTCTCCACACAGGCTGAGTCAGAGTTCATGGGTGCAGACAGCGAGTCTGCACACTGCAGCATGACATCACTGTAGATATTATTATTTATATTATTAGAACCAATCCTGGAATACTTTGGTGATGACCAACATCTGGCTGAGCTCCACGCTCCAACTCCCATGATGCACTGCCTCCATCCCGACCTGCAGTAACTTTGCAGAGTGTTTATACTGCCCCCACATGGTGGCACCATGTGCTGCATCTCAGCGTCACCATCAGGATCAGAAGCGGTTTTGTCTGAAGAACTGATCCAATCCAATCCTCCAACAGGAAAACAGCAAGTTACAACCAGAACCAACCATCTGGTGTTGGACTGGACCCACACTGATCTGGTTCTGGGTCTCATCCTCCCTCTGTGGAAGAGTTTCAGCAGCTGACATTGAGGATCTGCTTCTCTCCCATGCAGTGGGATGTTCTAACCTGATCTATAAATAATAATAATCAAACGTTTGTCATTGAACTGAATTGTGACTCTGAGGATTTTGCTGCGTCTCTGGTTTGATTTCAGATGTTGCTCCAGAGGAAGCGTCTCAATGTTTCATCTCTTTATTTATATTTCTGGAAAAGTTCCTCCTCCTGCTCAGACATCCCATTGTTGTTCTCTCCTCACACCTGAGAGCAGCCTGAGCTCAGCGACGCACGAACTAAGAGGCCGCTTCTCTTTTCTTCTCCCCGGATACATCGGGATAAAAATAAAATTTGCAGCGCAGCGACCGGCCACCGGGTGTCACTGCGGCTCCGCGAGAGGAATCCGGCCAGGACCGACCCGGCCTGATGATCCATCAGACTGCAGGAACCGCCAGCTGCCCTGACCTCTGTGACCTCTCTGCATGAATTCCTTCATTCTGACACAAACATCCAGTTTGCTGCTAAACATGTAGAACCTGAAGTTCTGGCCATCCGACGGACTGAGCCGTAAATGAGGAGCAGCTCATTATTTATTGAATGAAGAAGGAAAAGCAGAAGTTTCCACCAGCAGCTGAAAACATCAGCAACGAGCCACAAACCTCACTGAGGTCAGAGTGCAGCGCTCAGATCCTCCGGGTTCTTTTTCGTGCTCTTGATTTTTCTTACTTGCTTTGAAACTGAAAGTTGATCATTTCAATGAGGAAGAGCTGCTGTGACACCAACCAACCAGAAGGAGGCGCCTGGTGTCATTCTGGCTGGATCAGGGTTCCGGTCTGTTCCTGTATATCAGAGGAAACTGACAGACAAGCTGGAGAGTGAAGGAAAATCTGTTGAAGGATTTCTCTCTCTCTCAACCTGAAGCTTCGTCATGTTTTCAGTTTGTTCACAACATTTTCACTACTGAACCAATAAAACACAATCTGGTGGCAGGAGGTGATAAAATGTCACCAAGTAATTAACACAGATCTATCACATAGAATGGTCTAGCCCAGCAGCTCTATGCATGATGTTCTGTTATCCAACTGCTGGGACAAAACAAACGTTTCTATGTTTTACAGATCATGTAAACTGATCACATTTTAGCATTTTTACAAACTTGGAGAACATTTAACGACCTTAGCTTCCCCTCCACGTTGTTTTCTGGATAAATTCCCATTAGTTTGCTACTGAAAGTTTATTAAACAGTGAAGAAAATTAGTGTCACAATTTATTTAGAAAAATTCCTTTATGGGAAGCTAAGAGCGCTAAATGTTTCTTACAGTTAGCAACAATGCTTCATATTAGCTCCCATATTAGCTGCCAGCAATGCTTTTAATATTAAGCAGCATGAAAGGTTTATTATGGGATGTCCCTCAGGTTCTGGTGAAGTCACTTCCTGTGAAACAGGAAGTTGTTCTCTCCACTGTCCTTGACTGGATGCCATCAGCTGAGTAAATTGACTGATCAGAATGAAACCCTTCAAATTAAATGTTTCGCTCGGTGTCGTGAGCAGGACTCACCGCTGAGCGCCGCTGCTCCTCACAGAAAGTCCAGTTTGACTCCAGGATGGAGCAGAAAAAGAAACGCAGTGAAACAAACAGAAAGGGGAGTCGGCGCGGAGCGTCCGGCTTCCTGTTATTGGGACACGGCGTCCTCGTCAAGACTCGGGTTCAGGTCCACCACGGTCGTCCCTCTGAGAGAAGCTCCTCCCTCTGCGGCCGGCGCGCAGCTTTTATTAGCGCCTGGAAGACATCAGAACGCCGTCATCAGAACGCCGTCAGAACCGGACCGGCCGCTCGGCGGGTCGATTACCTGCACCTCCCGCGGCGGTCGGAGGCGGCGCTAGTACGCTGCTGGCTCCGCCCCCTCCGCCGCCGTTGGTCTGGGAGCAGACATTGGCGTGACGCGCCGCGGCTTTCTGCTTGTAGTGGTTGCTATGGAGCTTGTACTTCATCAGCAGGATGAAGATGAAGACGAGCACAGACGCCACGATGATCCCGCCGATGATGATGATCATGGTGCCGCCCAGGAACTGGAGAACAGACAGGAAGTTACACGCTAAGATGGAGGAAAGCTGCTGCTATGACAACAAGAAACTGTCTACAGGAGCAGGAAGTTATTGATTAAACAGGAGGACATACACTTTAATTCCACTGAAATGGACAGGGACAGGAAGTAGGACTAGTGGGACAGGAAGTAGGACTAGTGGACAGGAAGTAGGACTAGTGGGACAGGAAGTAGGACTAGTGGACAGGAGGTAGGACTAGTGGGACAGGAAGTAGGACTAGTGGGACAGGAAGTAGGACTAGTGGACAGGAAGTAGGACTAGTGGGACAGGAAGTAGGACTAGTGGACAGGAGGTAGGACTAGTGGACAGGAAGTAGGACTAGTGGACAGGAAGTAGGACTAGTGGACAGGAAGTAGGACTAGTGGGACAGGAAGTAGGACTAGTGGACAGGAAGTAGGACTAGTGGACAGGAAGTAGGACTAGTGGGACAGGAAGTAGGACTAGTGGACAGGAAGTAGGACTAGTGGGACAGGAAGTAGGACTAGTGGACAGGAGGTAGGACTAGTGGACAGGAAGTAGGACTAGTGGACAGGAAGTAGGACTAGTGGGACAGGAAGTAGGACTAGTGGACAAGAAGTAGGACTAGTGGACAGGAAGTAGGACTAGTGGACAGGAAGTAGGACTAATGGGACAGGAAGTAGGACTAGTGAACAGGAAGTAGGACTAGTGGACAGGAGGTAGGACTAGTGGACAGGAAGTAGGACTAGTGGACAGGAAGTAGGACTAGTGGACAGGAAGTAGGACTAGTGGGCAGAAAGTAGGATAGTGGGACAGGAAGTAGGACTAGTGAACATGAAGTAGGACTAGTGAACAGGAGGTAGGACTAGTGGACAGGAAGTAGGACTAGTGGGCAGGAAGTAGGACTAGTGGACAGGAAGTAGGACTACTAAACAGGAAGTAGGACTAGTGAACAGGAAGTATGACTAGTTGGCAGGAAGTAGGACTAGTGGGCAGAAAGTAGGACTAGTGGACAGGAAGTAGGACTAGTGGACAGGAAGTAGGACTAATGGGACAGGAAGTAGGACTAGTGGGCAGAAAGTAGGATAGTGGGACAGGAAGTAGGACTAGTGAACAGGAAGTAGGACTAGTGGACAGGAAGTAGGACTAATAAACAGGAAGTAGGACTAGTGAACAGAAAGTAGGACTAGTGGACAGGAAGTAGGGCTAGTAAACTGGAAGTAGGACTAGTGGGCAGAAAGTGGGACTAGTGGACAGGAAGTAGGACTAGTGAACAGAAAGTAGGACTAGTGGACAGGAAGTAGGACTAGTGGACAGGAAGTAGGACTAGTGGGACAGGAAGTAGGACTAGTGGGACAGGAAGTAGGACTAGTGGACAGGAAGTAGGACTAGTGGGACAGGAAGTAGGACTAGTGGACAGGAGGTAGGACTAGTGGACAGGAAGTAGGACTAGTGGACAGGAAGTAGGACTAGTGGGACAGGAAGTAGGACTAGTGGACAGGAAGTAGGACTAGTGGGACAGGAAGTAGGACTAGTGGACAGGAGGTAGGACTAGTGGACAGGAAGTAGGACTAGTGGACAGGAAGTAGGACTAGTGGACAGGAAGTAGGACTAGTGGGCAGAAAGTAGGACTAGTGGACAGGAAGTAGGACTAGTGGACAGGAAGTAGGACTAGTGGGACAGGAAGTAGGACTAGTGGGACAGGAAGTAGGACTAGTGGACAGGAAGTAGGACTAGTGGGACAGGAAGTAGGACTAGTGGACAGGAGGTAGGACTAGTGGACAGGAAGTAGG